TATACACATATATATATATATATATATATACACATATACATATACATGTATATTTATTCCCCTGACAATATAATCCCATACCAACATCACCGTCCTACAATATGAATGTGGACCTCCATTAATTCAAAATCGCTTTTAGAGTTCTTTAATTAACAGCTTTCTTCATACACTTTCAATTAAATAGAAAGTTAAATATGCATATAGAGGTTGGCAAAAATGCCCACAGTTTATTATTTATTACAAGGCCTATATTTATGGCAAAAAATCCAAGTGAATCTTTTTTTAAAAATGGTGATGCAAAGTGTCAAGGCAAAAAAATAAAAATAACAGGAAGTTTATAAAGAGTACACAGAGCCACAGAAATACATAAGGTGATTGAGGTTCGGCCACGTCATTGTGTGAAAAAGAGATTGGCTACCTGTCAGCTCGAGCCAGGTGGCTGAGAAGAAATAAAGAGGGATGAAGAGAGAGATTATAAGCAACACACTTAGTGAGCTCTATATAGAAAGATTCATAAGAATAAATGAGTCAACTGTGCATAATGTGAACCTGACACTTAGTTAACAACGTGGTAAATGCTGATAAATATTCAGAATGCTGGTCTGTCATCTATTTAATGAACAGGAAAAATATGACAAAGAGCATTTGTCTACCTGCGGGCGAAAGGGAAGTTGAGAGAGCAAATAGCAGTGGACACATTTCGTGGGCTGTCCAGAGGGCTGCTGGCAGCTGGAAGGAGAACAAGAGGAAATTTCAACAGAGCACACAGTGTTACGTAAGCTAGAGGATTTAATAGACGTTAGATGACCTCAGATGTTTCACAAATCACACACTTTAGGACATTTATCTCCTTTCGGAACAATAATGTGTGTCTGATTCACTGTCTATGGAGTTTAAAGCTGACGTGTGTAATTTTTTCAATGTTTTGAAATATTTTCTCCCAGTTTAATAACTATAAGTCAGCCACTCATAGACTGACTTTTCAAAAGAAAGTTTAAACATACTGGTGCAATCAAAACCAACGTTGAGCAACCTGACATGGCAACACTGGCTCCACCAACGATTAATGTTTTTTGGACGAGGCTGTGCTTGTTTGTGCCAGGGAAACCAGTTTGAAAACTGTCATTATTTGCGCCAAAATGACACTTTAAATGAAGTTAAATATGTAACTGTAAATGTAAATATATTATTCAGTCCGATTTGTGAATCATTCATCTGATTCATGAACAAATTCCTCACGCTAATTTGTGAGCAAATGGTTCAGGTGAATCATGAGCAAACGGTTCAGCTGAATCATTCAGCAGATTCGCAAAAACAAATAATACAGCTGATTTCTTAATACATTATTCTGATGATACATCAACAAATCATTCGGTATAATAATCATGATTTGTCATTCTGTTACGGATTTATTTCTCGAGTTAGTGTCACTAATCAAATAGTCCAATCGCTGTGGGAAAGATTATCAATTTTCTCACACAAAGCTATCATACCACATCAAACGCTTTGAAAGACAGCGCAAAATTCATATGATCTACTTCAGCTGTGCTTTTTTTTTTGTAATTTTAGTAGTCGACAGACATGGTTACTGAAACTGCTGCTGAATGGAAAAGAGCTGTGTGAAGAATCTTCAAAATACTCTTCTCCTTGTGCTCTGCAGAAAAAAAAAAACATGCAGGTCTGGATTTCCATATTTTTTGGGGCGATCAAGTAAACCCTTGAGGCAGTGTGGTAAGAGGCATGAGGCTGAAGGAGTGGACAGGCTTATGTTACGCCAGCTACATCAACCTCTCAACGGTCACAGGCCAGCTCAATGTAAGCTGTCCTAGAGCGGGTGTCATGTGACGGCGAGTATTACCTGTGTGGGCGGACAGAGGCGAAAGAGGGCGGGTGGGCGACGGCGTTCCAACCCCAAGGCTCTTTCTATTAGTGCTGCGACAGCTGCAACACACAAACAAGAGGAGAGGGATTATTAAAAACCTTTCAACATAATCCAGCCCAGCCTTCATGGTCGACGGCAAAGTTGACAAAGAAAGTGACAAAGGATTTAATGATCAGCACACTCTCAATAGTGTTTCAATAACGCCGCTTTTTGATTTAAGTATACTCCTATGAGTAATTCTGCCACATCTGCAGGCTCTGGCCATCAGAGGTGTCCTTCAACACAGCTGTCACTTGCATTACCCCAGAGACTAAAGTTGTGCGTGTGATTTGTCATTTGCTCATCTAACACCTCATGCATTGCACCTTCATCTCTTGCTAGTCTGCAGCCACAGATGTCTATCAATGCATGCAGATATTTTTCTATGCCATCATCAACAGCTCAAAATAAAGCCATGCAACAGTTTTCATAGTCCTTGGACTATAATAGTGCGCCACTTCTTATTAGACAAGCGACTACGACGCCCAAAATACAGTCTAGGTAAACAACACACTATGTTTTGAAACACAACCATAGCATCACTGTACAACCCACAGCGTGATTACATAAATCGACCGAGAAATGCCCACGTCACGTGTCAAAAGTTGACACATTAGAAAGTTTTGATCGTGCATGTCTCCTCTGATATAACATGTTACCTTTTGGATCGCTTGAGCATCGCGCCCGTAACGAAATGAGCTTTGCTGCTGCCAGGCAACGCGCTCCAGGAACTCGGATCAGACATAATCGCAGACGACTAGCGTGCCAACTGTCCAAGCAAAACCGATTAACAGAACCCGAACCCGAACCCGAAGTCGAACCCCTCTGCGATTCATGAGTCCGCCTCTCGACTGGATGAACTGGTAGGGGGGACTGCGTTTGGCTCGCAGCGCTTCATCTCTGCTCTTTGTGTGGCACGCTGCTGCTGCTTGCCTGGACTCGCCGTGCAACTTAGTAAAAGTTTAGAAGTTCACATTCTATTTAAATCATCTTCCGATATCGCCTCGACCTGGCACAAAGTTAACTATTTACTTTCCAAAAAGCGAATTTCATCGGATAACAGGAGAGAGTCCATATTTATAGGTAAGATGCTGTGTTGTGGTTGTTTCTCTCGAGTTGATTGATTGCCGGGTGATAAGCTTGGGATGTACCATTTTGACTGTGAAGAGGAGGAGCGGAGTCTAAGCCGAGTGTTCGCTCTGGGTCTAACTAAAAGATGTCCATTTTTAAGGTGTTTAACACTTTGGTATTTGTCGTAGAAATATTAACTTTGCATCTTCTGAATACATATTTTTGCGTGTTAAGAGAATAAGATATCAGATGTAACAGATGAATCTCAAAGGTGGTATGACCTAACGTGATCGTTTCTCCAGTGAGGTCAAATCTTCACGTGGGGGGATGATTTAGAACATTTTTTTTTCAGAGCAAGGCTTTAAAGTAACCTAATGTTACTGTAATCTGATAACAAAGCACATCATAAACCCCTCTTTTTAGGCAAGTATCAGATAATGTGTGTCATGTCACGAAATGTTTTTAATACGTCTGAAACTGTAGGCTATTTAACGTGATCACAATTTAATAAAAACATTAGGCCGATTAATTATTTAATTTCAACGCTTATTCAAACAACGAATAAATAATATAGGAAAGTGAGCAAATAACATTTACAGTATCAACGGCGCTTTTTGAAACTCCGAATCAGTTAAACCATTGCGTCGCAAAATGATTCACTGTTTTGTAAAAAAATAATTAGATTCAGATCGGGACTTCAAAGCGTGTATCGCAAATCATTTGATTCAGATCGGGACGTCAGAACGGGTTCGCGGGATGTTTTTATCCCCACCGGGGATAAAAAATAATTCAGCAGAGCCAGGGATGCATTGACCAGATTGGCAAATCGTAAATGTAAATGTAAATATCAATTAAGCATCTTCTAAATAATTTCTAATTTTTGCATGTTAAGTGACATGCAAAGTAATAAGTAAGCGTTTTTTCCCAGTGACATTACTTTTTCACGTGAGAGTTAGTCAAAGTCAGACCATCGAATATAATAATTATTTTTAGAAATGTATTTTATTTTTATTGATTTTTAAATATTCTTTTTCATTTTAATTTTATTTTCTTTATTTAAAAATATTTGTAAAATATGAATATTATTATAGATAGATAAATCTATCTAGCAGTATGGACTTCAAGCTTGCTCCATATATATCATATAACACAGGCTACTAGAATATATTTAACATCTACATCAAATTATAATATTAAAACTCCCATATTACATAAACTGTCTTGTTGCGGGGGATTTTAAAAAGGAGATAAACAACACTAAAATCAGCTAGTCAGTCATGGGCATCCCATGTGCTCAGGTGCTTTTGCTATCCATATGAATCAAATAGCATGAGCTTTACATATAGATATGAGTGTAGGTCACATTAAATGAGGAAAAAAAAAAATCAATGAGATGTGTTTGTCATGCTGACTAACTGAAGACAGTTCTGTCTCTCTGCAGGACCGGAGCAGGTTTATGTAATGTTTTGGCATGCGAATCGGCTGTCTTACCTCCAGGGGTGAAGGGATTGTAAGGGACTGCAGGGACTGCCTGGACTGCATGGACTCAGGATGATGGGGCTCTGGCTGGGTGACAAACTGAAAAACAAGACACGTTTGCATGCATTAGCGCTCTGACTAAGTGCATGTGGACTGTATTTTTCTTGGTGTTTCTTCATGCTCTCGGCAGCACTGCAAATCAATGTGCTTTAGGGATTCATTAAAGGGGTCATATTATGCTTTTGTCTGTAATGTTGCTGTTTGAGCATAAAAAAAGATCTGCAAAGTTACAAAGCTCAAAGTCCCCTTCAAAAGGAGATATTTTATTTAACAGAAATAAATTTTCAAAAACTACAATGAACGACTCGTTTGGACTACAACGCATATTTTCCGGGATTTGTGATATCACAAATATCTACGAATGGAACGAGACCTGGTCGAGCTGCACTAGAGAAGGCAACGAGTGTTATCACAATGTCGGAGACACGCTAGCTTTCCCCAAGGCAGACGAACTTAGAGTGGTTACAATCATCCGGGTTTAAATCGCTCTCAAATCGATTTGATTTTGACGCAATAGAGCATAATAGGACCCCTTTAAGTGGCATCATGGTGCTGCAACACGACAATGAAATGACTGAAAGAGAACATAAATGCACAAATGAATGAATGCGATATGAACAGGGGCTTTGAAAAGACCATCTTAAAGCTGCTGTAAGTGATTCTTTTAACATTGTGCATTATGTTTTTGGAAGAACTCTCTTATGCTCACCAAGGCTGCATTTATTTTAATAAAAATACAGTGAAAACAGTAATGTTGTGAAATATTATTGCAGTTTTTATATTTTAATATATTTGAAATTTTTATTCCTGTGATGCAAAGCTGAATTTTCAGCATCTTCACTCCAGTCTTCAGTGTCACATGATCCTTCAGAAATCATTCTAATATTTACTGCTCAATACACATTTCTTATCAATATCAATAATGAATCCAGCTTAATATTATGTGAAATCTGTGATCTTTTTTTTTTGATGAATAAAAAGTTCAAAAGAACAGCATTTATGACGTGTATATATATATATATATATATATCTTTATTGTGTAAAAGTCCTTACTGTCACTCTGTAAGGCTTTTAAGGCTTTGTAAGAAGAAAAGAAATCTAAGCATGGCCTGCACTTTTTTAGCCAATCAGCAACCTTGGACTCCCAAGGCGTGTGGATGAATAGGTGGAGACAGTCTATTTTAGTCTGACGAAGGTTAGCAAGATGGCTAAAATCACATACAGCATCTTTAAATGACATAATTTCCACCTGATGGAAAATGCCACAGGAGATGAGATGGAATGCATCATGTATGATAACCAGCCAATGTGTGCAACATGATTCATACAATCAGAGATCTAACAGCATATGCACTGGATTATTAGAAGGGTTCTATCTACATAAAACCATATAATCTCAAATTTCCACCATTCTCATCAACACCTTTCAATCTGGCCCTGCAGGAAGCAGGTGTTTTCCAGTATAAAAGTTCACTAAATTACTTTAATGTGTGACCTTCAAAGTCATTTACCGTTTACCGCCACCATAACTTTCAGTTCCACAAAATGCATTAGTGGTATCAAGATAAGGCCATTAACTGCAGGAAGCACTATTTCTCATGTTCCTTCATGCTATTCAATTTTGTCATCAGCCGAGCAGCCTAAAACATATTCAGGCTAACCCGACAGGTATTTACACGTCAAACTGAAAGCAGAATTAATGGAGCAAATCAAAATAGACACGAGGCATGTTGTTATTGGAAGCCAGTTTAGACAGGTATTGATTATTGTGACCTTGACGAGGGTAATGTGCTGTTTTAGTACGGACCGTTCTACACTTTGTACTAAATTATCCCCTGAAGTGCATGAGTCGAACTTCGATGAACTTTGGTTTGCGTAACAAATGTGTATTTTTGTGCCCTAAAAGCTAACCGGAACATTAAACATGCATGACTGTACAAATAGGGCTGCCACTGTCTGGCAGTTTGTATATTCTCACTGCAACCGATAGCAACAAGCGCTCTAGAAGTGTGAAGATGTTGTCATGGTGAAGAGAGAAAACTGGAGACGACCCAACCGTGAATACTACCCCCCTGCGCTCAACAATCTGATGTTATGCCATTCTCTGTGCATTTAGAATATGCAGTTTTTGATAAAGCGCTTTGTATCTTCTTATTGATACAATGCAGTGCTTTTGGAACCCAAATCTGAAAATCCCTGTAAATCAGCGGTGATCCACAATCAAATTCGGAGGTGCTTTTGCTGAAGGAAGGCTCCGGATATGGGCTCCTACACACTGGGATTGAAAATGTAGTGGGCTGTGGGGTCGGCTATATTCACTCCAAGTTCAGAGTGGGAGGACAGGGTTGGAAAGCTGCAGTGATCATGTTGAAGGCAGGCAGAAAGCAAGTGTCAGAAAAGCAGGAAAACATTGCGAAAGCGATACGGATGCGATAAGGAGAGTGTCAGAACACTCAGACTCGTGTTCTCACGTAAAAGCTCGACTCATAGTAGGATCCTGAAAGTGTGATTAGAGAGCTCACTCAATAGAAAGCAGATCTGTAAGTATTCAACTGTAATGTGACGCAACGTGATGTGCCATTATTCCAATAAAAGGACATTTCGCAGTAAGAGACTGTAGTGAAGACAATTCTGACTAATAAGGAATGGCAAACAATGTATAGTCCTGTTAAATTTACTGTAAAACTATTGTTTTTGAAAAATTTACAATAAAAATACGATAACGACAAGTGGACCTATTCATTAACCGCCAAAAGTACACAAACACTGTTAGGGTAACACACATGAAACTAAAATAATACAATAAACATTAAAGGATTAGTTCACTTCCAGAATAAAAATCTCCTGATAATTTACTCCCCCCTATGTCATCCGAAATGTTCATGTCTTTATTTCTTCAGTCGCAAAGAAATTAAGGTTTTCGAGGAAAACATGGATATGGACTTTTCTCCATATAATGGACTTCAATGGGAACCAACGGTCTGAAGGTGCAAACTGCAGTTTCAGTGCAGCTTCAAAGGGAATAAGGGTCTTATCTAGCCAAACAAGAGGTGCCCAAACTCGGTCCTGGAGGGCCGGTGTCCTGCAGAGTTTAGCTCCAACTAGCCTTAACACACCTACTGGGAAGTTTCTAAAATGCCTAGTAAGAGCTTGATTAGCTGGTTCAGGTGTGTCTAACTGGGGTTGGAGCTAAACTCTGCAGGACACCGGCCCTCCAGGACCGAGTTTGGGCACCCCTGAGCCAAACCATCGGCCATTTTCTAAAAACATTTTTTTTAAATTGATATACTTTTTAACCACAAATGCACAACCGCAAATTCACCCCGCATTATGTAATCATGTTGGAAAGGTCACACGCGGTTAGCTCTTCATCTGTGTACTCTGGTTCAGAAAGGTAGGGTATGGTGAAAAACTCCATCTCATTTTCTCCTCCAACTTCAAAATCGTCTGACATCGCTGTTTTACCTTTTATTTGTAAAGGGCGTTTGACTTTCTTTGCACGTTCGCTTTGTAAACACTGGGTCGGTGCTTCCACCTGCGTCACGCGTGACCTTTCCAACGTGATTTTGTAATGCGTGAAGTCGAGCTAGTGCAAGATGAGCATTTGTGGTTAAAAAGTAAATACATTTTAATTTTTTTTTTAAGAAAATGACGATCTTTTCGCTAGATAAGACCCTTATTCCTCGGCTGGTATCATGTAGAGCCCTTTGAAGTTGCACTGAAACTGAAATTTGGACCTTCAGCCCGTTGGTCCCCATTGAAGTCCATTATATGGAGAAAAATCCTAAAATGTTTTCCTCAAAAACCTTAATTTCTTTGCGACTGAAGAGAGAAATACATAAACATCTTGGATGACATGGGGGTGAGTAAATTATCAGGAAATTGTTATTCTGGATGTGAACTAATACTTTAACTAAACAACATAAAAGGCAACAAAATAAGAAATGTGTAAGAAAAATAATTTTTACTGTTTTTCCACCATAAATTACCAGGCGACTTACATTTTTTACTTAATTTATTTTAACAATATTTTACTGTAAAAGTATGTGTATTTAGTTAAATATAATATATAAGGTAATTCATACTTTTTGTCAAAAACATTTTTTACAGCAATTTGTGCCGTAAAATTACATGTAAAATGCTCTTAAATAATATTTATTTTGTAAAGATACAGTTAACAGTTTTACTCTAGCATTCTTTTAGCATTAAAATTTCCATCATTTTCTACAGTGTACAAACATAAAGCCGAAACAGAAGAAGTCATGAAGTGTCTAATAAACACAGGCTGTTACTCATACATGACATTTAACCAAATGACATTCATTTAGGTTTTAAGGTTTAATAACCTAACTGTATGGTTGGGTAATGCGCATGAAACAAATGGAAAGCTTGTTTCGCGTCACAAAATGATAAATTTACTCCATAATTAAGTATTTTAACCTTTCTTGTTACACATTTATCGCTTAACGTGTGTGTTTGTGTGTCCCGTATACCGACACTTCGCTACTTATTCTTAGCGCTTTAGTTTACACCAATACCAACCCTAAAACACACGGGAAAGGAAGAGAAATCAGAAAACGAAGGGATTGTTTTGTACAATTTCGCCGCTGTCGGTTCGTCTCTCACACACTCACTCACCAGTTCCGGGGGGTTTCCCCCGTCGCGAGTAAATCATTCATCACCAACATTTGAATAATGAAAAAAATATTTAGCTTACTCCAAAGTGAGGGAGGGGATTTTCAGCTTGTCTCTCCTCTTCATCTCTAAGAAGCCAGTGAAGCGCGATCAGGTGAAAATAACCAGCTTGTTTCAGATCTCACGCGAGACAACACAAAGTGCCCACTGTTTAACCTTACACATCGTCGTTTAACATCTGCCAAACGACAGCGTGAGGTGTTGTGCTGTGCTGGTGCAGACACTTCCTTAAAATAAACAAATTCTAAAGGAACACTTTTAGTTAAAGTGATGACATGTTTCTAAGCGAAAGTGACTCCGGTAGGTAGAGCGAGTGAGAGCTGATTGAGATTGATGGTGCGGTCACATCTCCCATGTGATTGCTCAGAGGACGACAGCGTGAGGTGTTGTGCTGTGCTGGTGCAGACACTTGCTTAAAATAGACAAATTCTAAAGGAACACTTTTAGTTAAAGTGATGACATGTTTCTAAGCGAAAGTGTCTCCGGTAGGTAGAGCGAGTGAGAGCTGATTGAGATTGATGGTGCGGTCACATCTCCCATGTGATTGCTCAGAGGAGGTGCTTCAACACACAGGTGGAAAAAACAAACACCCCCCCAACCCGAGAGACCACTGGAAACTGTCATTTCAATATTTATGAGACATTTTACATTGATAACTAGCATGTAATTACAATTTTAATGGCACAAGGAGCAGCTTTTGACCAATGAGCTGTTTGTGTGGCAAGCCGTTTTAACATTTATTCATTAAAACTTTTTTTTTTATTATTCTACTATACTTATTCTACTGTTGTTTTGTATTTATTATTAAATATATTTTCAATAAGTCTTATTCCTATAAGCTATACTAGTCACTGTTCCATTATTATTGGAAATACATTGCTAATTTGTGCAATTAAAGCAGCTGCATATGTTTTTTAACCTTAAAAATATCAGTTTAACTTTAAAGCAACACTATGTAGTTTTTTTTACCTTAAAATAACTGTCTATAAAATTATTTCAGTGGTAGAACACCTCTTAACCGGACTAATTCTACTGCCGCTGCTACCTGAGCAGCCTCCTAGCCGCTAGAACCACACTCTGTAAGTTTCATGTTCGGGTCGGTACACACAGCCCCGCCCATCCAATGCCAGCGGAAGAGTGCGACTTGCTTTACGGCATACGTCATATATTTTACTCGTAGCCTTGGTGGAGTTAGCTAACAGCTAACTATAAGGTGAAATTATCTCATGCAAGTCTCAAAACCAACGCCATGGCAGAGCCAGCAAAGAAACCAAAAAGGGATTTGTCGGAGGAAGCGAAGAAAAAAAAGAGAGAGAGTGATTGACCTTATAAACTTATGGCTACATGATTATGCGGACAACATTTTATTCTATTATACAAATTACACCCTTTGCAAACAATGCTACATACGAACTATGCGAGCAAAAAAACTAGGCAAACATACTTTGGAGTAACAATAACTAAAAATATGTAATGTAATTGTAGAACATAGTGTAACACGGGCTACTTTACCTGGTCAGTGGACATGGTTTCCAAACGAGGTTTCTCCATTCGCCGGTTCTGTCAGCTTAGTCAACAAATTCATGTGTATTGCACTGCCCACGGGCAAGCTTATACAGCGACAGTATTTACGACACTGGTAACAGAAAATTACGCTTATCAGCCACATGGGGGAATCGTGAGCAAAAGTTACATGGTGTTGCTTTTAATATATCTCAGTGCGAACTTGAAAAGGGCGGATTGCATTGGCAACGAATCTGCTGTAGGGGGGCTCCAAAGTCGCAAAAATACACAAAACTACAATAGCTTCAAATTATTTGCAAATCTCATGTATCGACTTCCAACTTGTCAAATTTGTGCTGATTTATTCCAGTTTTACTACTGTCTATTCAGGTCTCATGTAATGACTGGTCAGAAAGCTAACTTTATAGTTAGATTAAAGGAATTAAATTAAAACTGTTACTATCTGACTAGTTCAGGGGTGGCCAACGTAAGTCCTGGAGAGCCACTGTCCTGCAGAGTTTTGCTCTAACCTTGATAAAAACTCACCTGCCTGTAACTTTCTAACGCATAGACCTTGTTAGCTTGTTCAGGTGTGTTTGATTAGGGTTGGAGCGGAACTCTGCAGAACTGTGGCTCTCCAGGACTGACGTTAGCTACCCCTGGACTAGTGATAGATACTACAAGTAACTAATGAATAAATACTTGTACCTAATGAATTGTTACTATAGTTGGATTTGAAGATACAGTTAGTGTCATGAGCTGAAGAAAATGAAAGACCCAAACGCAGCTGAACAGTCACATTCCAAACATTTATTAAAGTCAATGAAATAATCAAAATAAATGTTTTTTAAGGAGCTGGTATAAAACATCTACATCAAACAGTGATGGAATGGACACGGAAAAGACCAAGATTTCCAGTGATGATAAACCATGGAATCCACAGGATTCCATGGTTTATTGATGAGATGACAACAACTCTCCATTAAGCAATCCCTGAGTAACGAGTGCCACTGATGAGTCAACCATCAAACTTGAAATAACATAATGACTGGTGATAGATACTGGTCTGTGCACAAATCACAGAAGAAAGCAAAAGAGCGCAACCAACACAAAGCAAGTCCAACAAAATTAAACAAACCAAAAAAGAACAAAAGAAATACCACAAAAGGATGTTGAATGAAGAGTGCTCAAAATGATTTAGCAACAAGATGGAACACAAGAGGAGTTTACACCGATCAGACATAACATTATGACCACCTTCCTAATATTGTGTTGGTCCTCCTTTTGCTGCAAAAACAGCCCTGACCCATCGAGGCAAGTATACTCTACTAGACCCCTGAAGGTGTACTGTGGTATCTGTCACCAAGATGTTAGCAACAGATCCTTTAAGTCCTGTAAGTTGCGAGGTTTGGCCTCCATGGTTCGGACTTGTTTGTTCAGCACAACCCACAGGTGCTCGATTGGATTGAGATCTGGGGAATTTGGAGGCCGAGTCAACACCTCAAACTCGATGTTGTTCTCCTCAAACCATTCCTGAACCATTTTTTGTTTGTGGCAGGGCGCATTATCCTACTGAAAGAGACCACAATCACCAGGGAATACCGTTTCCATGAAAGGATGTACATGGTCTGCAACAATGCTTAGGTAGGTGGTACGTGTCAAAGTAACATCCACATGGATGGCAGGACCCAAGGTTTCCCAGCAGAACATTGCCCAAAGCATCACACTGCCTCCGCCGGCTTACCTACTTCCCATAGTGCATCCCGGTGCCATGTGTTTCCCAGGTAAGCGATGCACACGCACCTGGCCATCCACATGATGTAAAAAAAATGTGATTCATCAGACCAGGCCACCTTCTTCCATTGCTCCATGGTCCAGTTCTGATGCTCACGTGCCCATTGTTGGCGCTTTCGGCAGTGGACAGGGGTCAGCATGGGCACACTGACTGGTCTGCAGCTATGCAGCCCCATACGCAACAAACTGCGATGCACTGTGTATTCTAACACCTTTCCATCAGAACCAGCATTAACTGCTTGAGCAATTTGAGCTACAGTAGCTCATCTGTTGGATGTAGTGCCTATGTAGCGCCTAAATGAACCTGGTGATGGTCAGGTGGTACAGCTGTTACATGGTCCAGGTCGTAGCTTTCAGAACATTCAGAGCTCACAAGTTGTAATTACAAGTTCTGGAGCATGTGAAGGCTTTGGCGTTGATAGTGTTGCCATAGAAACACATAAATCAGCTCCGTGTAGAATGTCACGTGTTGTCATCTCAGAATTATGGTAATCACGACATGGTGCCAACTCAGCATGAGTTTCTGAGTTGGGCGGGCCATAAACATGAGGAGTGAAACATAGATGTAGTACTGTAAAATTGTATTTGTTTTTCCCACAACATCTACATTGTTTTCTCTTGCCATTACAGTCATGTATATTTACGTATATAAATAACCATTTAATGCATATTGTATGTAATTGAACACGGTGAAAATAGCATTCATTTGACCGAAATGTAGGAATCGTCTTCCAGCTGAATATCTAGGTGTGAATGTTTACCAATGAATGGGATGCTACATTTTATTCAAAACCTGTTAGATATTGACTAAATATCTTATACCTTTTGGCTTTAACATAATTTTTCTAAGAAGCAGGCAAAAATAAATTCTTAAATGGGCCATCCACGCCAATTTCTGTTCTTTCCGACAACAAAGCACTTGAACGCAACAAACTCGTGAAGTGTGCCATTTGGGACAGGGCCAAGACTTACCCCGGGATCCTGACAGTTTGATTCATGAGTAATTCAATTTATAGGGACTAGTAACATAGCAATAGATTCTAGTTCATTTAGGAAATAAATGTTAAATTGGCTTGCCATAATGTACTTCAACAATGTGCATCAACTCTGCCATTTGGTCACAGGTGGAAAAACAAACAGCACCAGAAACCCTCAAAAGAATCCATTTGGAAACTGTCCCTACACTGCTGGGGCCTGTCATTTCAATATCTATGCGACATTTTATCTCAGTGCCTTGGCATGTTATTAATGATTAGCCTACAGTTTTCATGGTCAAGGCAGCCTTAGACCAATCAGCTGATTGCATTTCCTGGCTGCAAAAGCAGGCATGCAGACGTGCATTTTGCACATACCAGAGGTAGAAGTATTAATTCCTGATTACAAATGCTTACATCAATGCAATGAACTCACTCAACACTTAAAAGGGTATGTAGTTGAAATAATCTGACAAATATGTAATAGAAGTAAGAGTTTTCAGAATGTTCTGACTGAATAATATACACCTGGCTTTGATATTTCCATCAACATGAATTATGGTAAACATTTTGGGGCTTTCCTTTCTGCTCTCTTTCTCTTTGTGTTGAGGACTTGAACACTGCAAAATAAGAGAGAGCTGAGGTCTCTCAGTTACCATGGTGATGAGGACCTACCTTCTCCTCTCACTCTCTTTTTTGCTGATTATAAATCGGTGATAAACAGAAGTTTTTTTTTTTTTTTGGATTAAAAATAAAATATATTGGTGGTGCAATACAGCAACAGTAGGATCTGATTAACTGCAGCATGACCGCAGATTTTTATGCATGCCTATGCATTTTTATGCCTTCATAAACATGATTTTAATAATAATAGAATTTTGACGAATCTTGTGCTGAAATGAGAAAGTTTTGGGCTCTCAGCACAAATACGAAATGTCGATCAAAATACATATTGGTTGTGTTTTTATTTTTAGCTTGTGAAGTAAGCTGGTTAACCTATTAGATTCAGCAGGTCTATCATCTATCTATCTATCTATCTATCTATCTATCTATCTATCTATCTATCTATCTATCTATCTAATCATTATTATTATTATTATTTTTTTTTTTTGTGGGGTTACTGAGGTAGGTATTGTCAATACAAATTCTGACCACGAGATGGCGACAAAATTCGACTTTGGCTGAAAATCAGATGCATCTTATTTTTCCTAAAATTATGAATATGATATATCAACATCTTATTCATCTTATTATTTTAAATCAAATAAATCCAGAGTTGTTTATTCAAGTTAAGCTTTTTCAGCAATGTTCTTTATATGTGCATAAACAGGAAGGTAATTCAGATTTTGTTTTAGTTTAAAAAACATATAACAGAATTTTGTGACGCATGTGTTTAACGTTTCCAAGATTTAAGAATAATTGCTGCATTTAGAATTTTAATGTGAAATCACTTACGACTAAAGTTATTTTCTGCCATAAACACTGTAATCAAAGCATGAAACAAATGAATGAAAATGTAAAATATATAAAAAATGTAATATGTAATGACTGGGAATTTAATTACCCTAAATTTGAATTGGAATCCATTGAATTACTTTAATTAATTTTCTCTCAGTCGGAATAAGAACAAAACTGATAGCAGTGCATGCATGGGAACCTTAGTTTCTGTAGTAGCCAGGAACATATTGTAAATATTTTTTTTTAAACATAGGAACATTTTACAAGTGAATTACATTCATATATAATTTTTTTTTGTATTTATATTTTGACATTTGAAAAAGAGTCAACGTCAGAGGAAATGAATGTCATAATTTCCAGAAAACCTTTACACTGACCTTTTTTTTTTATTTTTTTTTTTACAAAGGTGCAGTCATCATAAACAAGACATAAAAGCAAATTTTTTTGTGATCTACTTTCATTCTAATTTTGCATAAGATCTGAAGAAACTTAAGTGAAGTTGGAAAGCTCTCCTCTCAGATGAACACTCACTGCTTAGCTTCACAGTTAATAACTTCAAGAAGCAGTTAATATCACTGTAGGGGTAGCCACAAAGTGCGGTTAAATTGAACAGAACTAGACTCTGCAAAGGAAGTCTATAATACCCAAATAAATCATATTTTTAATTTGTGTTCACTTTTTTTTTTATCCAAAGCAACATACTGTGCACTTATTAAATATTTTCAGTGCAATATGCACATTTCTGTGCCACTAATGAAACCAAAACAATTTTTCCAAACACAAGTCTCACATGGCCAGACCTCTGACTGCAGTATAAAGTCTGGTCCACTTTTGCAGCCGATTTTGGCCAACAACCACCCACTTAGACAGGAAGGAGCTCACTGAGAAACCTATTCCTGTTAAGAGCTGAGTTCATTTGATACTACAATAATAGACCAGCTGGATAAAAGACTATTACGATATTAAAATAACGACATAGCTGGTCCAAAACGTCACAAAAAACAGAACAAATAAGAGTAGCTTTATGACTAAATAAGAAAAATAATTTCTGTCTATTTCAAAGTCATAAGCATGGATTACTTTACATAAAGCATGACCTAAAAGACATGGCATGAAATTCTGTTCATGGATGACTAGTTTACCTGCTAATAGTGTGTACACAGTACCAACGTTTCAGTAGTCAAGGTATCAATCAAACGAATCAATGTTTCAGGTATAAATACCAGTAAAATTTCACAGTTCTCTGTACCAATTTCGGTACCATGATTGTAAATACTTTATTTTAATACTTTTAACTAGGCTATTTGAAAATAAAAATATTAATTAAATAGAATTAGTTAATTGTTAATAATATTAATAATTGCAAGTAAATCATACATTAAAACATTAGCATGTAGCCTTCAAATATTGTTAAATTATGTAATAATAACAAAGAAACACATTACAGGCAACAGAACTAGTTACAGGCATGGGCGACGTTTATCACCTGAAATGCACAAAATTTATAATATAATATAATCAATGAAGTTCTCTAAACTGCACAACGAATCTCTTATTTACATCGCGTCTGCACTTAGTCATAAGATGATTCACGGGCTTGCCAAACTGCACTTAAAAACTGCGGCGCTTTCAGCGGTGAGTGAATTCTGACAAAATGTTTCTGATTGGCCATTGCGTTCAAGAAATCAACAGATATGTCTGTGATTGGTTACATTGCTCAACTTTACATCGCATCTGCACTTTGTTTGTTATGAAATGATTCATGAGCGTGTAGAACTGAACTGAACGAACACTCCGGCACTTTCAGTGGTGAGTGATTTCTGTCTAACTGAAACACCACTGATTGGCCATTGCATTCAAGAAATCTATATTTCTGTGATTGGCTACATTGCTCGATGCTGCAAAAAGTGCCTTCCTTTTCACCTCTCCCACAAACACACCAATTAGAAGTGAAACCAAATTGCCCTGATCATTTGACAGAAACCTGCATAGTCGACTGAAAACCAACATGGTAAAATACACGTTTTTAGTTCTTGTTATTTTAGTTAAACTAAATTAAAATGAGAAATGTTGCTTTGGAAACTATAGCTGAAAAAAAATGTGTGTCTGTGTGATTTTGTTAAAGGGGTCATATGATGCTTTTTTAAAGATCATTATTTTGTGTATTTGGTGTAACAGAATATGTTGACATGCTTTAATGTTCAAAAAACACATTATTTTTGCAACTTCAGGGATCTTATCTATTCACGAACAGCTTGTAACACTCCAAAGAGAAAGGAAAACTTGAAATCGCATCATATGACCCCTTTAAAATATATTTTATTTTATTTGAAGTAATGATTTTTATTTTATTTTTTTCTAATGGTTTTCATTTTAGTTTCAGGTTTAGTTTACTATAATTAACCCTGGCTGAGATTTTAGAGAACAGGCACACAACAAACAAAACAAAACAAAATAAAATAAAATTGCCATTGTTTTTTTTTTTTGAGTCAAGTGTAAAGTATTTATAAGTATTTAAATTTGTTTTGAAGGGGTTGTGCGTTTAGGAAGAGGGAGACACTAAGAAACAAAAAGAGGATGTACTAATGGAGTCAGATTCTGGGGTCAAATCCTGATTACTTTACTAAAAGCAGTCCACGTCAGGTTAAAGATGATTTTGTTGGAAAGCGATTTCAATAGGCTCATACAGTCAGGTTTATTTAGGGGTATAGCAGGTAAGCGAACATGTTTTTTCTCATGAAGTGAGAAGAGCTTCCCCTGCTGTGCTCGTGTTGTGGTTTGTGGTGTTGCAGTAGTTAGTACCTCATTCTGCCCCAGAAACACACAGGGCTAGTACGTACAGACTAAACTCCTTCAGCTCTCTGTAGTCTAGATGACTTCAGACTGTATTGTGAACTCTGGCTACAACGGTCGTCTTGAACCACTCGTGTATTGGTCATGTCTTATGAGTGAGGAACTTTCCGAACACTAGAAGCGATGAGGATGAGAGTGGCTGTGCTGGTGCTTGTTGTTTCTGTCAGTCTGACTGAAGGTATGTATGTCATTCACTTTCATCTTTCATGGCTGATGGCACATATACAACACCACAGAGCAAGATGATATTGAGATTAGATTGACAGACTTTTACAGAAGTAACAATATCAATTACAGATGACTGTGATAGTGCTCTTGTGTCAGATGGTGTGTAGATTTGATCAGAGCTGTGAATCTACTACAGGCGCCATTTGACTAAACCGCCATTAAACACCTTAAAAACCACAGGATGTAAACAAATTGTTTTTATCATTACATCAGATCTTTTTTAAAAGTCACATACTTATTGAAATGTAAAGCTAACTTCAAATGGTTAAACACGATTGGTCGAAAGTTTGGAATAATTGAGATTTTTTTATGTTTTTGAAAGAAGTCTCTTATGTTTACCAAGCCTGCATTTATTTGATATTTATTTTATTTTCAGAAATCATTCTAATATGCTGATCTGGTGCATATTATTATTATTATTATTATTATTATTAATGGTTCTTATTATTTGTTCCAACATTTGACCACTAGTATATTTTTCAATATTTTTATTAATGCATTATATTATAACTTAAATGTAATTGTCTTTTTTATTATATATATATATACA